GTCTTGGAGATTATGTACAAAACGCCGAGGTTCAATTTTTCAGTTGCTAAGTGCTATTTTAACAATTTCACACCAATGTCACTATTGAGTTGAATTATGTTATCATGCTTCAACTATGTCCAAACTGTAAAAATCCGGGGGCAGGATGTCAACGTGGGGAGCTATAGATATTCCAACATGGCGTCCAACTCGTTTTCGTCCAGGAACTGAAAGAAAAAGAGAGCGAGACAATTGTTACGTGTTGATGTTAAGGCGCCTTAATGAGCGAAATGAGTTCTAGTCTTTAACTACACGTATACCGATGATCCAAAATCTTTCAGTAATTGTCAAATACCTAGTCCCATTCCCGGATTTATCCACCGGAACTAGAAATAAATTACACCTAAAGTGACACAGCGTGCAGCTGTTTACCATCCCTCTTGCCAAATTTCTTGTGATGTATTTATAGTTTTGTTAAGTCTGTCTTTATGCATAGATATAAATATGAAAGAGACAAGGTGAGGTTGTCTCTTTCATATTTAGATCTATGCATAAAGATTGACAGTGGCAAAACAAGAAACTTAACAAAAATATTAATACCTCACAAGAGGGGTAGTAAACAAGTGCCCAATGAGTCACTGTAGTTTCAATTCAGTATTGAGCTGACGTTAGAATTAAACTACCTTACAAACGGAGACGGTATGTATCAGTGCGTCAAGTAAATATGAATTATTCTATTAGGTTGTTGGCATAGATACACGGGAACTGTGTCATGACGAGGACATTGCAGCAAACATGTTCATGCTAACTATAATCATTTATCTATTTGCTCTTATCTATTAATCTTTTAAATTCATTAAGAGGCATACTGAACTTGTTGCGATTCAGAGGAACATTTGTTATGGATAGACAACTGCTTTACTGAAATAAAAAATAATTTTAGGTGCGACGTTTGAGTGTAGATGCTAATACCGTTATCATTACTAAAATGTTTCATCTATTACAATATAGAAGTTTGCTATCCATGAAAAATGTTCCTCTTTATTAATCTTTTGTCATACTAAAAAAGTGTTCCTGGCACTCAATCTACACTGAAACCAGAAGGGAAACTTGTTATCGTATTAAAGGGATGCAATCCCCTGATGCTTCTGGTCTGATTCCCCGCATAATTGTAAGACTTTGTCATTCAACATAATACAAGTAAAAGAGATAAAGCCCTTCCCACGAACATACTCTCTGCTGCACGTTTATAATATAATCAATGATTTATTCAGTAGAAAGGCCTTGCTTTGTACAAAAAGCAAAAGCAAGAAGTGCAACATAAATATCGAGGATACTATAAAAAGGAACTGTGTAAAACCAAAGCATCCCTAATATAATCTGAGGAAGGCAATTAGCGAGAAAGATTACTGCATTGTGAGGAATGAATTACGTAGTTATTATTGGTGTACAAGGGTATATCTTGTAAATGGTTTTGGTGAATATCATAATATACTGGACATATATAAAGAAAGTGTAATTCGTTTTTGTAAAGTATGTAAATAAAAAATGTGTTTATGAATTCCTATCAAATAGTGACGATAGCAGGTGTGCGCTAAAGGGTAAGCGTATCCTGTCCCAACAAAACACATGCAAAGTCAAGTCAATTGTTAACTTAAATGACACAGGAACATTTTGTCACTGTAGTGCCTTCCACATGCCTGGCATATCATTGTGAAAGGTTTACTGTAATGTTAAATGTTTGTACCGTTATCAAACAGCACACATGAAATTGACAGTGTCTCTGTGTGTTCTGCGAAACCACCAACTGTAAAATTCGTAAAAAAATCGTAAACTTTGAGTGAGTGAGTGAGTGAGTGGGTATGGTTTTACGCCGCTTTTTAGCAGTATTCCAGCAATATCACGGCGGGGGACACCAGAAATGGGCTTCACACATTGTACCCATGTCGTAAACTTTGAGTTGGCAGACAAACAAATTGTTTTTGAGGGAACTGATATACTAAGAAAATGGCCTGAGGCTGGACCCCCTTTAAAAGGGGCTAGTAGTGCTGGCATGCGTCCATTTCCCAAAGCCCACGTTCGAAACTCATGGGTGAGGACCGATTTGGCATGGTTGATTGTGTGGGCAAGATAGGCATGCACCAATCACAGGGTTTCTTCTCTGTATCTTCCGTATCCTCCACACCATCCCACTACCCCACAAGCCTACACAGCTGAACTCACATTACAGTGATATCCTCGTGTTAGATAACGGTGACTCATCCGAATCAAGCGACGATCGACCACACACCCATTCCTATAGATGCAGTAGCTGATAGACCCACTGAACTCCAAATGAATAGATCAACATTAGGTGTCACTGTCACTCGGTGCAGTTTTAATACATGGATACAGAAATACACAGCACACCTTTGAAATTATTAACAGTTGTCTGCATATAAAAAAACCCGTGACTTGTGCCCTGCATGTTTCTGAAATCACGCGTCCATTCACACTGAGTGAGTGAGTGAGTTTAGTTTTACGCCGCACTCAGCAATATTCCAGCTATATGACGGAGGTCTGTAAATAATCGAGTCTGGACCAGACAATCCAGTGATCAACAGCATGAGCATCGATCTGCGCAATTGGGAACCGATGACATGTGTCAACCAAGTCAGCGAGCCTGACCACCCGATCCCGTTAGTCGCCTCTTACGACAAGCATGGGTTACTGAAGGCTCATTCTAACCCGGACCTTCACGGGCCATTCACACTGTACAAATTGTCATTGAGTGTGTAGAGAAAGAAATAATCGTTATATACATGGTAACCCAGGTTGAATCCCAGCATCTATTGCTCGTCACACAATATGAAATCAACATGCAATCACCACTAAGAAAGCAATTCTGCAATCTGCATCTCAAAAGGGTAATGACAGTTACAAAATCCAAATGTGAATAGGTATGGGGCATCATCATCAGTGTAAACAAAACATGTCACAATAACTATTACACTTTTAACATCAAATTTTACATGGACTGCACGTGCAACACAACCCTTGAAGTCCAGTGCCAGTAGTACATGTATCGGTACATATATGCCCTCTGCTTGACGAGATAACGATAACTATATACACAAAGAACCTAGTAAAGCACCCCTTGACATATCTCACGATTGAATGAGCCCCGATCTTAACCCTTTGGAGCATATCTGTAACATGATTGGAAACATCCCAGGACCATACTTGAACATACATGGTTTTGTATGAAAATCATTGGGTTTTTTTTACATGAGCAATTATCATGATTCCAATCATTTTGTCGTTGTTTATTAGTCAAAGGATCATACGGTCGGAAAAACACATGTTTTTTCCATCGTGGTCACCGTGGTCACCTTTTATGTGCTGCTGAAAACCTATCATTGCAAAAATACAGGGGGGGGCTTAATTAAGTTCTTTGTGTATAGTACTTTACTGAATATATTGACTGCGGGCAATACAGATGAAGTGACAATGCATTGGGTGTCAATTATGTACATGTAAAACGCGAATACGAACGAGTAATCAGTCCCAATTAAAAAACGTTAATGCTGGATTATCTTCCATTGGTGGAGCAAGGAATGATAAGAAATGGCGATTATATGCAGGCAATACAATTGCTTAGTACAATATAAGGCTGTATGACAAAAGGTACCATTTCAACTTTCCAACAGGCAATTTCCCCAGTATGTCGAGCAATATTTCTGCCTTAGTTAGAATCGGTCGATCAAGGTTACAACATTCAAGGCACCAATAAAGTTTTAAACTGTCTTTATGGTAGACCTGTGATGGAAAGCTGACGCATCTGTGACAAGTTTGATGCAATTCCCAATTGTCACTTGCATCATACGTTCTCAACTTTTTTTAAATTAGGAACTGACAAGCTTTTGCACAGTTTATGAAGAGTACCACCGGTGGGGCAAGATACGCACACCCTTTCGCGAACACCTGTTAGCATCACTGTTTGATAGTGATTAATAAACACATGCCTATCATAGAGTCAGAATTGTAAAATCTGTTTTAGCAGAGTGTTTTGTTAAAAAGGATTAAACTAACAGTTTATACATCATTAGGTTATAATTGACATATTGATAAACAGCATGGGATAAGAAACGTGGTCTGTTGCATTAAATGCACAAACGGCATGTACCACATGTCGTATTCGGTCATAGCTTTTAACAGAAACATGAATCATTGTCGTGTTAGGCCGCGTCCCAGTGCACCGGAAAGCCGTATATTACGGGTTTTAAAAGGGGGATACGTTTGCCCCAAGCCTATTCCCCAACAGTGAATCCGGATTCTGTGTACCTGGAGTTCAAAATCAACTTTAAAAAATGGAACGTTCATTTTTATACACACCTTATGTTATCGCTCAGTAGGATCTGAAACGGTGTTTGGAATTTGCATTTGTTAAACATTATATGCATGATTTTACCTCTTTTATGAATCTGTTGGTAAAATGTCCACCTTACAATTCACCTGCAAACTGTAGACATCAATTCAAACATATTACTTTCTTGCATCCCCCAAACGCCCTTTTTTCAAAGAAACTCCAGTTACATAACAGTTAACATAATAGCACTATTTCACATTCTGGGGCCTAAATTCTACGTGTGCTTAAACTGCAATTCACATACGGCCTTGTATGTCCTTCAATGACATTTCACAAACTTCAAGACGTGTATGATGCAATTTGATATTTCTGAATTTTTTATCATTAGTATTCTGATCTAATTATTTGACAGTCAACGAGACGCATCTTTAGAAAAGAGAAAACAAAAGCTCTTTAATAAAACAGTATGATAAAATGGAAATGCCAATGAGGATGGGGCGGAATTGTTTGTAAATACCACATAGTGTACTCCCATTCATTTGATTCATCTAGGTCCTGTACGGAAATTGTATCGTGAGGACAATTTGTCACTGACGGACGCTGAATTACGTCACAGCGCGAGCTCATTAACATATACCTACGTATGGCCTGAGGGCTCACTTGGATATATAAATACTCAGGTGTCCTCCGGCAGACGAAGACACATCTGGCTACTACCTAGAGCTCACGAACCTGCACAGGTAAGATAATCTTACAGACTCGATGCCGTACTAACCTATACTTTTTAATTTCATAATGCATTGAATATACATGGTCTTCAAAAGTCAGTCAGGTGGACCGTACATATGTTATTATGTAAATGAAAGTAGTTTAGTTATACGGCATGGTCTTTATTGTAAACCATGAAAACAAACTGAAATCAATGTAAAAAGCAGGTTGTTTCTTTTCTGTCAAGATGATCTTCTAGATGAGTGAGTTAGTGTACTTTTACGCCGCACTCAGCAATATTCCAGCTATATGGCGGCGGTCTGTAAATAATAGGTTCTGGACCAGACAATCCAGGGATCAAAAGTATGAACATCGATCTACGCAATTGGGATACGATGACATGTGTCAACCAAGTCAGCGATCCCGTTAGTCGCCTCATACGACAAGCATGGGTTACTGAAGATCAGTTCTAACCCATACCTTCACGGGTCTCTTCTAGATGATCTTCGAAAAGTGAATAATGGTAACTATTAACTATCAGAATTGCCTTTGAAAAGTGAGTTAAGATAACCTTCTGATGCCGTTATGTAAATGGAGATAATTTAGTTGTGTTTCCGAGGACTGTCAAGAATGCGTATTCTTCTGCACTTACGTTCTATATTGACACTAAATCAAGATATGCATCCTGATATTAGCTTGCACAATAGGAGATAATTAAGTTGTACTAAATGTTTCACGTGAAGTGAATAAAGGTATACATTCTGATATCAATGTGAATAATAAAAGGTAAATAAGTTGTACAAAATGGCCATCGTAATGTGAATCAAGATATGCGTTCAGATATCAAGATTCACAACAGGAGATAAATAAGTTATGCTAAATGTTTCTCGTGAATTGAATAAAGATATTCATTCTGATATCAATGATATCACTAGGAGATAATTAAGTCCCGTTCTCATCCATTACACACACAATACAATCAAAGGATTTGGTTATGAGTTTGCAGTGATGAGTTACTGTCAATACGTTCGATTCAAATTATCAGTTGCAACTTTACAATGAGAACTATCCGTGTGTTGCGACCGTTATCAAACCATTACCTATCATTTATCGCCCTTACTATTTTAGCAAATAAAAGATATATTAAATAACCTGTATAAACCAAATTATTGCCTATTAATAACAACATTGACAGGACTGTGGTACCAGTTTGACATGATACATCATGGCTTTGAAGCTATAAATTGAAGTTCCATAGATAAAATAATTAAACATGTTTTTGTTTTAAAAACTGAAAATACTAGTCCGAGCTCAAAACGTTTAAAAAGAGAACCCCAAAGGAAACGAATAGTGTTATTATTGCTAGTTCTAATAGTCATCCGTGAAATAGTCTAACTAGACATCTGTTTATTCACATGAGACTGCCTTTATCTTAGGAATTCTCATTATAAGTTGATAGATGAAAAGGGGCCAAAATAACTCGATTTTTATCTTAAATGCACAGTGACCCTTCTATCAGTTCCTTTCTTTGGTCGGTTCACGTCTACACAGAGAACGCCGTGTGCCTCTGTGAGGCATCAACTCTCGTGCGGCTGTGGATATTAACGGTACCCTGTGATATTTGTGAATTGGCAAGAACCGGTGTCGTCTTTCCATTGACGTCAGTGATTAGCGACACGTTTGGTGTAACACAGGTAAACGCACTGGGCATCCAGGTCGACCTGGTCATCTGACACTCGTCAAATATTCGTTAAAGGGGCAATGGCTAACAGATCGTGTTAAGGTCAACAGGTGTCTTCCTACTGATTCGGTAAATGGTATTATTTAATAAAGAAACCCTAAGGTAATATTATGCAAAGGCACATCAAACGCAAAGGCCAAAACTGCTCTTATTAATTTTTTTAAATTTCTTAAACGTGTTACCTTCTCCACGCGTAATAGTGCAGTAACTATTCGTTTCTGTTAACGTACCGATGAGAACGAAAGCAAATTTGAATTGCCTGAATAACGTTGATTAATGTGAAGTTAATGTATCTCCCTGTATTTCCTTGTTCCGCCAGTCCGCCTTGGAGAATCGTATTAGAACTGGTCTTCAGAAACATATGCTTGTATTTAAAGGCATTTAACTGGATCCGGTATTCAGGCTTTGCTGACATGGTTGATTGACGTCATCGTATACCAAATTGATGCTTATGACGTCAATCACTGTATTGTCTGGTCCAGACTCGATTATTTATAAACTCTGTCACATAACGGAATTATTGATGCACGAACCATTGTTTAACAAACAAAATACTGTTCTGTCACAATCACATTTCATCAAGTGTATCATATGCCTGATATTACTGACATAATTATTTCCCAGAATTAATTTATACTTAATTGGTCCTAAAATGTCTGTATGTGAAATTTTGGTGTCAGTTAATTCATCTGAAACTTTGCAGCATTATCCTATTCCGAAAATGGCATTAATTTAAAAAACAAAAATAAGTTTAGAAATCGATGAAGATAACAGGATGCTCACATCCGCTCTGAAACAAGTGCACGATAATAATATAATGGCAGCAGCAGTGTTGTGCAATCAGTGTTGTGCAATCAAGGCAAATGTTGCAGCTAATTCTACATTCTTCCGTCATCCCCCAGAGTAACACAAACAATCTCGTGTTCCATCTCAAACTTCGGGGAACAACAAACGGTTCAAGGTAAATACAAGTTAATTGTTCTGCAAGTTATATGTGCAATCCCTTTTTGTAATTCATCCTCGTCGTGGAATGTAACTGTTAATGTTTACCATACCCACAGCAGTGCTACCTATTTGTAACCGAATTCCAGCCGTTGAGAAAACTCAACATTTCAGATACCAAAAAACCAATTTATTAATAGCGTCAGAAATAACAAATATGTTCCATATTTCTGTTATAATAATGATCTTAAAATGTAGAATAAATAAAGCACACACTTAAATTTGTTTTAAAATAAAAACATATACTTTTTAACTGCATCAAGTCGCCCATGAAGGTCGCAAAATTCGACCTCACTTGAAAGTTCACGTGAATGTTGTCTATTAGAGGTACAAAATATACACATATGACAGGCTACGATTGAATGTGTTGTATTCATAGTCCACAAACAATCGTCGTGTTTCCATATGCATGTGGAAATGTATTTACAGGTATTTTTAAGGCACAAAAAGAGACCAATAAAGATTATAGCACACCTGTTTTTACCGACTCTTACCTAAGCCACTACAATTACGTATACTGGTGGACAGGACATGCTTAACGTTTGGCGAACACCTGGTGTCATCACGGTGGTATCTGTATCGACAGTTGGTCGAGACTGATTATTCTCTGGTGTTGAGGTAGCTCATTGTAAAATCCATGGCCTTAAAAAGACATATTATTAAGTCAATTATCAACTTTTATCAACTCTGAGGGACACGATGTTCCACTGTCTTGCAGCCAGAAGACATTGATTGTATTACTAATTGTTAAATTCCCATCCATAATACACTTTTATCCAGCTCATGAACAATTTAGTCTGCTAGTTGACTCGACCCATGTCCTCGTGAACGTAAGTGACCAACAGTGATATTTGCCTTTTCGGGACACGTCCGGTCACGTATCTTGTTGCATAACCTACTCTAACCGCAGTAAAACACATAACAATGCGACGTTCTTACAATGTCACGGTGCTAGCAATAACCATCTGTCTAGATCTCCCAGAAGCAGCCTGACCACTTACAGCTTAAAACACGTCACGACCGGTCAGGGTCACTCTCAAAAGTTTTGTCTCCAGTTCACGAAATGAAACCAATTGATGTAAGTTACCGAATCAGTGAAAACATCTGCAAAATATAAAACAAACCATTTCAATGTATGTTTTGTATTTTCATCATCACTGATCCCGATTTGTAAAAAAAACATTTCCGTCTGAAATAATTTTCTGTAAAAGCGCCAATTCAATACGTTTACCTTTTGGAAACATACTTATTTCTCAGCAATAACACTATAGGGGCGGTGGGGTAGCCTAGTGGTTAAAGCGTTGGCTCGTCACGCCGAATATCCGGGTTCGATTCCCCACATCGGCACAATGTGTGAAGCCCATTTGTGGTGTCCCCCGCCGTGATATTGCTGGAATATTGCTAAAAGCGGCGTAAAAACCATACTCACTCACACTCAATAACACTATACATTTTTCTGTTAAATAATACCATCATTTAAATATATTTAACCTGAACCAAAATCCTAAATAGTATTACTGATTCATGAGATACTCCCTATCTCACGGACAAAAGAAAACGTTCGCAATGTTTCCGTTAACGTTGCCCTCAGACATGTACATGACGTGATGTATTGCTCAGGTCTGTGTGGAAGTGACACGCCCATTCTCAGTGACTGCTGGCTTTCAGTACTCAGGTCTCGACTCGCTTGGAGTATTTAATCCTCAATATATCATTCCAAGGCTCGAGACGTTCTCACTTTCAGAAGAAACCCTTGTCATCATTTGATCGATTCGTATTTTATGGCTCTTGTGTGTTTGTTTTTGCCATCACCTCCAGCTAACTTAAATCTTTGGGTATTTGATAAATCCAAAAATAACTCATTTTAACGATAAATTACTATAAGTGTCAAAGGGTCTTTTTCGAGAGTTAGTCAGCTCCATCTCACGTGTTTAGATGCGCAACACAATGTGTGTATACTAAAACGGCTTAAAAGGCTGTTTAGATTTTGATATTTAAATATAGAATTTTGAAAACATATTGAAAGTGTCAAAAACTTTCCCTAGTCAGATATTCGCGATCGCTGGTTTCAGGTGGTAAATATCACTGGTACGTTTTGTATTTAATTCATAAACTCAAATCGAACTTTTTATTGCAGTTGCAAAATGGCTGGACCAGCATTCCTTGCGGTTGTTATTCTGAGTGTTCTACTCCGTGGATCGATACAGGCGACCATCACCCAATCAATCACGACAATCTCCGATACTCCGTCATCTAGTGAAGCTGTTACAACAGCCGTAGAACAAGGAACAACATCAGCGGAAACAGCAACAACAACAGCAACAACAGCAACGACAACCGTGGAACCAGCTTCAACTACCGCGGAAGCAGCAAACTCAACCATGGATCAAACGACGACAACTGTTGCGACTACTACAGCCAGCGACAACGCAATCGAAGGTATAAGGAAAAGTCAAGTTCGTGAACAATGTGAGAGAGAAAATTTAGATTGAGAGAGCGAAAGAGATAGATTGTTGTTATTACTTTTGCTATTTTCCAAATGTGAATGCCAGAACAATTAGATTGAGAGAATGAGAGAAAGAAAGAGAGATTGTTGTTATTACTTTTGCTAGTTTTCCAATCTGAAAACCAGAGCATTTAGATTGATAGAATGAAGGGGGGGGGGAGAGAGATTACTGTTATTACTTTTGCTAGTTTTCAAATCTGAAAACCAGAGCATTTAGATTGAGAGAATGAGAGAAAGAGAGAGATATACTACTGTTATTACTTTTGCTAGTTTTCAAATGTAATTACCAGAACGTTAAGAGAGAGAGAGAGAGTACTGGCATGTATTTTTCTATTTTCTACGTGTAGTGTGCGAACTGGAACCGAAAGACTGCAAAACCATGTCTTTCAACATGACCGGGTGTTTCTGCTACTGTCCACACAAGGCCCACACAAACGCCGGAATGTTCATCATGTCGGTGGGTCACGTGCAGTACGCGATGTACTGCCCCTGGGGACTGGTCTGGTCCCAGGCCAAGTGCATGTGTGACAACCCCCCAACCAAGCCCTCAGAACCGGATGCTATCAAGGACCTGCCCGTCTTCTCCAGTATGTATATACATTCACGTATCTTCACCAACAAAACAAACTCTCTAATTGCCACTAGAAAATTATATTAAAAATTGAGTCGATTGTCATTTTATGTAATGAATATAATATCAAAGTTGACAAAAGCTATACCTTTATGACTGACTGACTGACTGAGTTTGGTTTTACGCCGCTTTTAGCAATATTCCAGCAATATCACGGCGGGGGACACCAGAAATGGGCTTCACACATTGTACCCATGTGGGGATTCGAACCCGGGTCTTTGGCGTGACGAGCCAACGCTTTAACCACTAGGCTACCTCACCGCCCCTATACTTTTATGACATACATTGTATATTTAATCATTTTAAATAAATTGGGGCATTTTGACTCCCCTGGGGGAATTCCACTGCAGCTGGCGGAATTCAGAAGATGAAATAAATTGATATGTGTATGTGTTTTCCGGTTCGTTCTTCGTACGTTCGTAAAACAGAAGCGTGTTACATATTGACGTCATTTCTTACGTTAACGTTAACGTATCCAATGTTGTTTCTTACATAGCAACGTTACATAGCAAGATTCACACTTTTCACACCGGTCCTCGCGTTCATAACCAAATACCCCTATACATATTGACGTCAATTCTTACGTTAACGGCAACCTTTCCAGTAGTATTAAACGTTACTTGCATGTATTGACATAGTATTCAGATTAGTTTATATACTAGTACTACAACCGGCAATATATATGCTGACGTGATAAATAGCTGTGAGTTGAAATTGTATTCATGTAAAGAAACATGAGTGAGTATGGTTTTACGCCGCTTTTAGCAATATTCCAACAGCTTCTCAGCGGGGGACACCAGCAATGGCTCCACACATTGTACCCATGTGGAGAATCGAACCCGGGTTGTCGATTTTCGATTGAACCACGAGACTACCCTACCTAAAAAAACGTGAATACATGACGCTTTTGTATCGAAATCAACATCATCTGAATTTGTTAATAACGTTGTTTCAATGATAACCTTCCGTCTCAACACTGTGAATACAGAGTAAGAGTATTGAGTTCATATTTACACATGCTGATATGTTGACACACGTTTGATTGAACAGGTGGCTGCAAAACTCTCGTCAACTACGCCTACAACGCCACCAGCAAAGCCTTCGAAGACGGCAGAAACTTCGTCCGCCAAGAAAACACGATCAACAAAAGATTACAAGTCGTGCAATCAGAGGGTGCAACGGTGAACAACAGCGCTGCTAACTTCATCAACAACTCTATCGACATCCCATACCTCAACGGCAACGACTTGACTGACACAGCATTTATCGAGGTCCGCATCAAGCCGGTTGCTGACAACGACAACGTCACAAGGGTGATCTTGTCCAACGGCTGCATCAAGAACAACAGCGGTGAGACGTCGGTGATCATGTCGTTCAACGCCGAGGAGGGCAACTTCTATGTCGCTGTCAGGACCGCCTACTTGTCCAATGGTGTTTGTGAAAACATGCAACCGGTAGGACCTGGTTTTTATAATGAATTGGGCATTTCTTGTCTAAATAATACAATCGGTTATAGAAATTAACATAATATTTTCAATGTGTTTTTAGGAATTTAATTGTCGGATTTTTATCACTGAACATGTTGACAATTTGAGAGGGAAGACATTCCTCAAGACATAAGGTTTACACGTAAACTGATGGTCGTTACCAACCTTGTTGGTGCTAAAAGCGGCGTAAATCAATCCCCACAAACACATGAATAATGCTGTAGTGAACACCTTATATTATATTTCGAGTAATAATATTTTGGAATTAATGATAATATCACGAACAATATATTCGTCATTAGATTTATATACTTCCTGTTGATATATTTATAGTTCTTAAGAGTGGTTGGGTAGCCTAGTGGCTAAAGGACTCACTCGTCGTGCCGATGTCGTGTTCAGTTCCTGACATGGGTACAATGTGTCAAGCCCATTTTTGGTGTTCCCATAGTGGTATTGCTGGAATATTGCTAAAGCCAGCGTGAAACCCAACGCACACACTCACTCACTCACTGTAGGTTTAGCTGGAAAATGCTTAACAAAACCACTGTATGTCATTAAGGCGCCATTAATTCTTCATACCACTTGCATCAAAACATTAAAAACAACATTTGATAATCTAAACTACATATAAACAATTAAATATAAACAATTACGAAATATTTGTTCTAGGACATCGACGGCTGGTACAAACTGACCCTGTCGGTGAAGAATTCCAAGTCTAGATTCCTCGTCAATGATCAAGAGTGTCTGACCTTAAATGGTAGAGGTAAGCTTGACATTGTCTCTACCGGAGCAACTGGTCTAATAACTTAGGCATTTGCCTTGGGGGAAGACTGAACATAGTCCTTCCTGTCGGGTCAGGAGCAACAGCAGGCGTTGGAGTCACCTAGTGCCATCACCAACTTCCATTCATATACATGTAGTTGTAACCACTTTCTTAGCCTTTTTAGGAATCTGATGATAATCGAGACTGACTATTCTCAGGCGTTGATATTTTACATCGATGGGATTTTTAAATTCTATTTTGGATCTGATTGAGCAATCCGGGGTTTCAAACCACAATAACAATCCTCTTATTCCTGCAAAATCATGACTCGGGAAAGATGTATTTTGTTATCACAAATCAATTTGTTTGGCAGTGTCTTAACTGATTCAGTCCAATATAGTTTAGAGGAAATCTGCTAATAACCTCCGTGACTACGTTTAAATGTATTTGTCTAACAGTTAATGATATATACCTAGATCTATATTGACCTAGGTGTTAACTGCGTTTAGAACAACACTTAAAGCGAGACATTGATGTGAGTTTTCACTGGATCTGGTTCGTTTTCAGATTTAAGAACTCTTCGTAGAATGGTTTTCGTTAAACTTGTTGGTAAACAACACCAAGCTTATGTTTCTTTGATTTGTTTATAGGAAGCATTGCCAAGACGACTTGTAATCTGTCTATCGGAGGTGACCCCTTCATGACCGACTACAGCCAAGACTTCAATGGCTACATCGACTATGTAAGTATAACACTCATAACATAAGCGACAAGGAACTACGTCCAAAAAGACCTTTGAAGTTTATTTTGCATGAAACAATTAGCTGACTTTTTAAAAGGCCACGTTTTGTTTGAACTTACCCGGATAAGGAGATAATCCAAATGTTGATTGATTGGTTGGTTGGTTGATTGATTGATGTTACTGGCTTTTTCAGGTAAAGGTAATCAAACACTGTTCAAAGGAGCCGCCGAAGTAGAAGCGAAACACGTGAGGATCACGTGCGGATCATTTGATAAGAAAACCATCACACTGACGCATAGATGTGAACTCCGTGAACAGCAAATAAATAGCGCCCTACACATACATTCCTCATGTTCCTCAATAACATCCGTCAAATACTTTCCTCACAACGAGAAGAAACGTAAATTCACATTCAGATTGTTCTGCTTTGACGTAACGAGTTGCATAATACAGCTGCGATAATATTTAAAATATGAATATATAATTATTGCCTTAATTTAAGTCTTTGTTCAATTATTTCAATGTAAAACGCACATTAGTGTCTGTAATATTTTCTGGATTAACTGTGTCCATCTTGTTTTTTAGTCTGAAGCTTGGGGCGGGCCCCTGTGTTAGTTTGTGTTCGTATAGTTACGCTGTTGCTTTTAATGATAGATATAAAATATCGGATCCAGATCTGTTCTGGGTCCAAAGCGTCCTGTGAAAGGAGCATACGACCGTTCTTTCGTGTTCTATACTGTGCTGTTGGTCTCTTGTATCCTTGTGAATGTTGTTGAATGTTGCCGAAGATATTGTTGGATGTTCATCTATTTTTAAATTATTTTCTTAATTGCTATTTGTATGTGATAATGTACATAAATGAAAATAAATTTGCTTTCTACATGACCCATTTTTCTCGTTGTTGGTTCAACATTCAGTCTGGCAAATTCCATGGTAAAGGTACAGGGGTAACTACATCACAAACACATCCATGCTCAACAGACTCATCCAATCATTTTGTTTCAATAATCATCTACCTCTATAAGAAGTTTTGGAACTGCAACTGAAATACAAAAAAGCAAATGCATTTGTACAATTCTATGAGAACAAGTTCAATCCGACAACATTTCAACACGGACCAAGTTTCTGAGGTTGAAGACACATTTCCTCTCCACCTCGATGGTGGAACTCAGGGAAGTTTCTGAAGAGTAGGTACTGAAACTGATTCAGAAGTCCAAGACACCTGGTGTCTCCTGGATCCCATTCCCATCCGGCTCATTCTCGGCAATTTGGACATTCTTCTGCCTGTGATTGTGAACATTGTGAATTGCAGTGTCAGGTCTGGAACAATGCCATCTCCTTTCAAACAAGCCATTGTCAAACCTATGTTGAAAAATCCTCCTTAGACAGTGAAGAACTTCAGGCCAGTGTCCAATCTGCCTTTTCTATCGAAACTGATTGAAACAGCAGTGTGTCTGAGACTCTCTGAACACTTGAAAACTCACCACTTTGATGACCCCTTTCAATCTGCGTATCGCCAACATCACAGCACTGAAACTTCGCTCCTCGGGGTGTTGAATGATCTCAGACTTGAAGCTGATGAGGGGAATGTAGGATTACTCGTTTTGGGGACCTTATCGCAGCGTTCGATACGATAGACCATAGCATAATGATTTCCCGCCTTAACGTGTTGTTTGGAATCCAGGAAATGGCGTTGAGTTGGTTTAAGTCCTGCCTCAATGATAGGTACCGGTCAGTGTTTGTGGATGGCTGTCTCTCAGAACCTGTCCTACTTACATGTGGTGTGCCACAAAGGTCTGTACTTGGGCCGATCCTTTTTACGCTATATACAAGACAACTTGGTAAACTCATTGACAGACATCGGATGGGACGTCATCACTTTGCCGACGACACACAACAGCTGAAACCCTTTCTCCCCAAGCCGGCAGAGGCTGCTGAAGCTCTCGAACAAACATCCCTCTGTTCTCAGGACATTAAGTCCGGGATGTTGAGCAACAAACTCAAAGATGACAAGACGCCTCATAGTTGGACCAATGTTGAGGCGGTCAAAACTTGATATCACTTCCATCCCTATTGGGAGTTGTCTCATTCAGGTAGCAGAGGTAGTTAAAGATCTAGGTGTCCATCTTGATTCTGAGTTATCTTTGGAGAATCACGGCAACAACTAGGACAGAAACTGCTTCCTCCAGCTTAGAAATATTGGAAATATGAGGAGGTATCTGAACAAAGAGTTGGCAATCATCTTTGTTCTGTCATTAGTCATTTTCAAGGTAGACTACTGCAATAGCCTACTCGGGGGGTGGGGGTGTTCCTCAGACAACAATAAATAAGCTCCATAAAATAATAAACACTGCCGCAATAATTGTGACTCTCACGCGAAAACATGACCATATAACTCCAAAACTCCCATGTTTCCCACTAAGTCCTGTGCCTTGCATACAAATGGATTTCTAGTGATGCAGCAGCGTACCTGTATGAGCTACTGCAGCCTTACAGACCACTGAGAACTCTGAAGCACATCTCCTCTATGTCCTGAAAACTTGAAAACTAAGACTACAAACTATGGGCATCGCTTTTTCTATTACTCGGCAGCGACAGAATGGAATCCTATCGAAATAAGACTTGCTTCGACATTCAAATCGTTCAAAACCTTTCTGAAAACCCATCTGTTTAATTAGTATGCATTCCTTAACTAAACTTTTAATGTGCGCTCACACTCACTCACATATGCACACGCAAGCACGCACGCACACATACACACAGACACGTTCTAACAAACAGACGGACACAAACAAATACATACACACACACGAACGCAAACTCTCACACACACGTACACTAACACACTCACACAAGCACGTGGACACGTACACAAACACACGCGCGCGTACACGTACACACACTCCAGTTGATGTGTCATGTTGCAGACCTAACTCACATTCTATTGCGAAACAAGCATTTTTTATATGACTACTGACATAATATGACCATGATACGACTGTAGCATGTGTTAAACCCTTTTCTGGTGTCCACTTCTTCTTCTACTACTACTACTACTACTACTACTACGACTACTACTACGACTACTACTACTTGTTCTTCCGACTCTCAGAATCACAGTGAAATTTGCAGAATTATTTAAACCAAACGTTGACAACCATATGTATATAAGAGAAATGAAATATATGAATGAAAAACAAGGCCTCCTGACGTACATTAATAATAGCTTCCTGAAATGTTCATGCATGTTTCACTGGGGCGTTGTGCCAGGTATATCGGGCGGACGTATGTTCATTTCACATATATTGCTGTCAATTACACACAGTGTCAAAGAGGATGTTTGTATCTCGCTGTGTTATACACGCCCTGGCGGACGTACAGCTGTAAAAAGGTTTTGCATTCTCGAGAGTCACGGAGCGTCAATCATTACATGCACATATATACAGTATTTTGAATGCCATTGAAAATAATATTTGGTTTACTAGCCGGAAGCATCCTGATATTCAGTGGTTGACGGACGTCAGGATGCATGCCCTCCACATTATAGTAGTATGGAAGTCTGTACATGTACAAACTTTAAAGTGTATTGGAGGCTTTTTGCCTTAAATAGTAACTAATGCAGACCTGTAAATGCTTATGATACTAAATCCGTAAGACGGATATTTTTGATTATATCAATCTCCTAAAAAGACGGAAGGTCTGGTCACAGCTCTTCGAACCATGACGATCCTAGCTATAATAGATCATCAGCAACAAATACTTGTGGTATAAGTCAGCAACCTTGTTGCAGACCTTTGGAATTAATCATGCTTTCTAAAAAAAAGCCATCATGCTTGTTGTAAGAGGTCACCAAGCTTGTTCCAAGATCCATCGTGCTTGTCGTAAGAGTCCACCATGCTTGTCTTACCGAAGCCGTCATGCTTGTCGTAAAACATCCGTCAAGCTTGTTGGAAGAGGCCACCATGCTTTTCATAAGAGGCCTCCATTCTTCTCGTAAGAGGCCACCAAGCATACAGTAAGAAGTGACCAATGGTCATACTCTGGAGTCTGGTATTTTACAGCGAAAATAATACACCAGAAAATGTAATGCCAAAATAACCCATGCCTCAGATTATTGAGACATATAGTTGTCAGCTTACAAACTTGCATTGCTGCAAGTTGTTTTATGATGGAAATAAAGTATTTTGGCTCATAGTTTATGTAAAAATGGATTTCAACATAAATGTTCGTTTTAGTTTTAAAAGCAACGTCTGTCCAATTAATATTATTTTAGATATAATTAAAACAACACTTTAAACCCCAAATGGAATCTGAATAGTTTTAAGCGGATTATGTAAATCGTTTCAAAATTTGTCACAAATGCGTCAACGTGGGGCGCCAAACCGCCTGTTCTATTCGCAATTTTTAATATGAAATTTGTTTTAAAAAATATACATGATTCATGATTCAAGACAGTGGTTGCATATTAAGTGCTCTTAACGAAGTGTGCAAGCTATAAGTTGGCAGGTGGTAGCATTACGTGCCTCGAGAATGATTGAATGATCTATTCAGCTGCTATCCGTGAACCCATCAAACATGCAGGGCAAATTTGTCACAGTTTGACATTTATTATCCTGTTAACAAACCCGCAACCTGCTCTTATGATAGCCGTGAAGAGATGTGGGACAAAAAAAACAATATACCGAGGGTATGTCGTGCTACAAAAGGCCCCCCAGCAATGCTTGAGGTACTGTAGCGTAGGCGTTCCGTGTTTCAATAAGTCCCCAGCAAAACGTGCTTTTGGTACTGTACCGTAGGTATTCCTTGCTGTGATAGGTCCCTAACAATCTTTGCTCGTGGTACTCTACCGTGGGTATTCCTCGTTATGACAGGTCCCTTTCAACCTTTGCTTGTGGTACTGTACCATGGGTATTCCGTGTTATGATAGGTCCCTAGCAACCTTTGCTTGTGGTACTGTACCGTGGGTATTCCGTTTTATGACAGGTCTCGAGCAACTTTTGCTTGTGGTACCGTGGGTATTCCGTGTTATGACAGGTCCCTAGCAACCATTGCTTTTGGTACCGAGAGTATTCCGTCTTATGACAGGTCCCTAGCAGCCTTTGCTTATGGTACTGTGCCGTGGGTATTCCGTATAATGACAGGTCCCTAGCAACCTTTGCTTATGGTACTGTACCGTGGGTATTCCGTGTTATGACAGGTTCCTATCAACCTTCGCTTGTCATACCGTATGTAGGGTATTCCTTGCTATCACAGGTCCCTAACAATCTTTCCTTGTGGTACTGTAAAGTGGGTATTCCGTGTTATGACAGGTCCCTAGCAACCTTTGCTTGTGGTACTATACCGTGGGTATTCCGTGTTATGACAGGTCCCTAGCAACCTTTGCTTGTGAAACTACCATGGGTATTCCGTGTTATGACAGGTCCCTAGCAACCTTTGCTTGTGGTAATGTACCGTGGGTATTCCGTGTTATGACAGGTTCCTATCAACCTTCGCTTGTCATACCGTATGTAGGGTATTCCTTGCTATCACAGGTCCCTAACAATCTTTCCTTGTGGTACTGTACCGTGGGTATTCCGTGTTATGACAGGTCCCTAGCAACCTTTGCTTGTGGTACTATACCGTGGGCATTCCGTGTTATGATGGGTCCCTAGAAACCTTTGTTTGTGGTACTATACCGTGGGTATTCCGTGTTATGACAGGTCCCTAGCAACCTTTGCTTGTGGTACTGTACCATGGGCATTCCGTGTTATGACAGGTCCCTAGAAACCCTTGTGTTTGTATTCCGTGTACTAGCAACCCTTGCTTGTGGTACTGTGCCGTGGGTATTCCGTGTTATGACATGTCCCTAGCAACCTTTGCTTGTGGTACTGTACCTGTGGGTATTC